TCTGTCAGGTCGTGCCCTCTGCCCCTTTCACGCTGCAGGACCACGAATAAATTGATGAAAATGTTCCTACCTGTCGTATGGAGACTGTCCAGAAAATGATTGCCGAAGTGCAAGATGAGAATAAACCTTCCAGCGATGAATGTGGTGAGAATATTGCCAAAGTAGCGGTGCCACCAGACCGATCAGCTAAAGAGGCTGTTGAACTTTTGCAGCGCTATTTCGAGCATAAGGCTTGTCCAGAATTTCTGACTTGTATGACGGACATGGGTGCGTACCTTGTGAAAAAGGAACTCAAGCTTGCCAAACAAACTACCCTTCACTTCTTTTTTTCTCCTACACATCCTCATGAGTACGGTGAGGTTTGCGCAATTTGAATAAAGGTTTTGATCACTAAACAAGTGTACTTTGCTCAAATGAAACTTCTGATAAATGGAACAGTTTTATGGATCCTCTTCAAGTTCAGTTTAAGGGGAGACACAGGTATGGGAGGCCAAAAATTTTCCGAAAAACAGATTTTTTGAAGTATTTTTTTTCATAATCATTAAGGTCTAAGGAAGCTGTTCATAAATATTATAGCCCTGTAATGCATATTTGTCGAGTTATTGGGTCGCAAAGTCAGTTTGATGACCATTTTCGCTTCCGAAACCACCTCAAAAACGGTCGTATTCAACGCCGCAGCGCGCAAGAACCGCACGAAGTAGCGCGGCCATTGTGGTCTCATTTTATAGCCGCATTTTTCTATTATCTGTTCCTAGCAGAAGAACGTTTTTCGTCTAACAACAACGCAGCTATCGCGCATAAAAAAAACTGAATACTCGCACATCATTGGTGCGTTTTTGTCACGTGAGGCAGTTCCCGGTTTCCCATTGGACGTGAAGGGATTTGTCTGCTAGACAGCGGCGTGCAAGCCACCATTTTGCGTAGAGGCCTAACAACGGCTGTGCATTCGGTGCAAAAGCAGGCGGTCATCGGAAGTTCCGGAGTGCTCATGCGTTAGGAAAAAGGCCGAAAACAGCGTCCGAGACCCCGCACCTTATCACCAGCGAGACCTTCTGCCGCCGAGAACTCGGAAGAAGCAGGCTGTGAAAGCGCTATCACACCGCCGCGGCACCCGCAATCGCGGACGCGATAGCCGCGTCCCAAGATCACACGAGAGCTGTGCGCGTCGACACTCCCCTGGTTTCCGACGCTGAAAAAGTGGCCATCGAGTGTCGTGCGAGCGATGTTCTGCAAGATCTCTCATCGAAGTCTGCCACAAAATGCAAGCGGTCTTTTTTTCGAGACTCAGATGGAGCCGCAACGCCTGGTACGCCGTTCACCGTCGTTAGCTTAGAGTTGGTCAACGAACTTCTTCAGTGTATGAAGTGCGGTGTGGGTGGTGGGCCTGGCAGAATCTCCAAGGAAGACCGCGAATATGGCATAACCGCGAAACTTGTTCTCACATGTGACGAGTGCGGTAAACTGAGGACCATATGGAGCTCGCCGAGAGCAGGAGGGGGAAGCAGCACACGACCCCTTCGAAATTAACGTGCTCGCCGTTTGCGCGACAATAAGCACTGGAAACGGGCAAACTGCGCTCAACGATATTTTTTTTCCGCCCTAAATATTTCACGGAGAGGCCTGCACACCAAGACATACCAGGATTATGTGAAATTGAAAATGAACCCTGCTGCACAGAAGGCTGCCGCGCGCGTTATTGACGACTGCGCGAGCAGTGTGAAAACAGTGTATTCCGAACTCATTTATAGAAGTCCTGGAAATATCGCCATTTCCTTTGATGGGACTTGGCTGACCAGGGGCCACTCATCCCATAATTTTGTAGGGACCGTGACTGAACTATTCACGGGTTATGTGCTCGACTTCGTCGTCCTATCGAACTTTTGTTTAAGCTGCCAGCTAGGGCCGAAGGAGGACAACCCAAGGTATGCCGAGTGGCTAGCTGGTCATACTTGCCAAAAGAATACCTCCAGTAATCCAGGACAAATGGAGGTGGAAGCAGCACAAATTTTATTTGGCCGCTCATTGGAGAGACATGGGCTCCGCTACACAACCATGTTGTGTGATGGAGACAGCCGGGCCGCCTTCAACAGTCTGCAGGAGGCAAGCAGGCTTCGTGCCAATAGAAAACGAGGACTGTGTCAACCATGTGCATAAGCGCATGGGCACAGCACTTCGAAACCTCCTGCAAAAACAAAGAGCCGAAGGAAAGCCAAGCCTTGGCGGCAAGGGCAAACTGACAGGCGAGCTGGTCACAAAGCTCACGTCATATTATGGATGGGCTTTACAAAAAATCAAGGAAGCATTGAGGCCATGAATAATGCTGTCTGGGCAACCTTTTATCACGTAGCATCTACTGATGCAAGCCCTCAGCACTCTCACTGCTCAACTGGTGAAGACTCATGGTGCAAGTACAACAAGGCTGTTGCCAAGCAGCAGACTCCTCCAAATCATCGCTACAACCTGCCGGAGTATGTGGTTGATGCCTTGCGGCCTATTTACACGCGCCTCTCTGACAAGAAATTGCTGGAGCGTTGTCAGCGAGGCAAAACACAGAACCCAAACGAGAGCCTGCACTCCGTCATCTGGTCGCTCATGTCCAAAAACAAACATGCGTCGCTTTTCAGCGTTGAAGCTGCTGTGGCCGATCTGTCGCAAGGTTCAACGCTGCAAAGGGAGAGCAGATGCCGCCATATTGAAGGAGCTGCACCTGCAGCAGAGTGTTGTGGCCGCTGAAAGATGCTCAGAAAAGGACAGTCGCCGACTAGTGGCATCGGAGAAGAAGCATGAGCATGCTGTAAACTTCAAGCATGCCATGAAAAGAAAGCGCACCAAGGAGAATGATGATGACTACATTCCTGGTGGCTTCTAACATGGTTAATACACCGATTCACACCTTTCCTTGTTAAATATAAGTGCTCAGCATGTTCCTAATCTTCTTTTCTCGTTTTCTCAAAACAACACTTTTCATCACACCCCAAGCCATTGCCCACAGTATCTTTTGATGTAGCAGTCGGATTTTGATAATTCTTGCAGCATTTGAAAGCTTATACATTGATTAGTGCAAGAAAACTAAAAAATGTAATATTTTCATTTACAATAGTGATTTAATTAGCAACAAAATTAAGCAACAGTTTCAGATTTCTAATGAGTATACTTGTAAAGGCCATAACTCTGGCACCAATGAAGCTAAAAATAAAATTTTGATTTTGGTACATTCCCTGGCCTTCATGGAATGCTGTCATATCAAATTTGTAGCAATATTTTATGAGGAAGATGTCAAAAGACTGGGCATAATGCAAGTTTATGTAACAGTCAATATTTAAAAATCTAAAAGTGATAGCAAAAAACTAATTGCATATTTGTTTTCAGCTGTGAAAACAATTTATGATGACTTGTGCTTCGGCCACCGGGGCAATATTGCCGTTAGCTACGACGGCACTGACATGAAATTTTTCATGTCATATTCAACATCCCACAACTTTGCTTCGAAATAGTCCAAAACAATGATTTATACTTTATTGCACACTGTGAACATACCGAATTGGTTCTATAGGTTGCACATCAATATCCAAGTTACAGTTAATTAGCTAATTAGGCCTTAATTGAAAAAGTCGCAGTTCATTATATCTTTAAAACTAATTGTCACAGCAAAAAAAGAATTAGATTTTTGAAATTAGCAGTAAAATCTACATAGGCTCTCCAAATTTGACTGAGGTAATCGCAAAAATAAAAGAGTTTTTGGAAGGTGTAGCATCCCCCCTTAATTGATGCCTCAAACTAAAGGTGGCCAACGTGGCCTCCATTTTTTGCTGAAATCAGCGCAACTGCAAAAATTTTGAGGCTGGTCGCGCATTTTGGTGAAGCGCGGCGCAATTTTGGCAAACTTCATAATTTTGGCGCAGCTTGGCGCAAAAATGGGAAATAGTATCAACTTGCCAAAATTAATGCAGCTGTTTCACCCCTGCAGTTAATACAATGTTTATTGGTCATAAATAGTATGTCGTGTGGAGTTGTGAATTTCAGCTTGACTTCATTATTAGCACTTCATGGTCCATGACAAGTAAAGGCAATGGTTGTTTTATCGGATCTAGCCTGATGTCGGCAAAGACGAGGTCTAAGCACGTCTTCTTGGTGGTTGATGGTTGTTTCCAGTCATAAAAAAATGCATCGTAGAGCGTACCTAGAAATCATTTACCGCACAAGCCAGTCGGCGTTGCCGTTGAGCCGCCGCTTCCAATGCCCTCAACTCGGAGCCGCTTTGGAGTTTTTCGACATTTTGCCTTCGGCAAGGGTAGCAGCCTGCTGTCAGCGTTGCTGTTGAGCCACCGCTTCCCGCACTCTCAACTCTGAGTCCACTAGACGTTCTTCTCATTTGCCGCCACTTCCCGAGCCCTTACCTCCGCAATAGCTTGTTGTCGGCGTTGCCGTTCATATCGGATACCTTGCACGTGCCAACATGCTTATTCTTCATCCTCATGGCATATAGTGGGTACCTTGCATGTGCTGCACATGTGCTAGCATGTTTATTCTTCATCGTCATGGCGTATAGTGGGTACAACGAACTACAGATGACCCCAAACCTGATGGTGCTTTGCCCCTAAAATAATGTATTGTACCTTCCTTGGTAAAGACCAGCGTTGTGCCCAGGGCTTATTCAGGTAGTCTGTACCAGTTTCTTGGGCGGAGGGGGCACTAAGCGTCACTGCATATATTCTTAGTTTCGATTATACAACGATTCTGTGTGGTCCCCTCAAAGTATAGTACAATCGGGGTTCCATTGCATTTCAAAACTCGGAAAATGAGAAGATTTCAATTCTTGTTAGCTTTTTTTTTTCTTTTTACCCGTGCACAATAGTCGCAGTACCCTCTATGTGCACATCTTTTAATTTTTTTATTCCTTGTTATTGTTTCTTCAGATTTCAATTTCATGCATTTACATCTTTATCTCAACCTAGTTGGCAACCATTAGAGTAAATGAAAGTAAAAGAAAGCACACGTACTTCCACACTACGGGTACGCCGTGGCCGTAGCTGAGGTTGGCTCTCCACACGACTGCCTCTTCGTCTGGTTGTGGCCCCTACCGGCTGCGGCTGCTGAGCTGCAACTTGAGGCAGAGTTGCTGCCTGGGTTTCCTCCTGGCTGTTTACATCACAGGTAGCCTTTACTTGTTGCCCAAGAACAGGCACTGTATCATGTTCTGGAATCTCCATGCCGATGAGACGGACACCACGGCGAGACTTTTTAGGTGGCAGCACCATGCCTTTGTGTCCAGGAACGCTTCCGAGGTGGGTTGCCACTGTTTCTGCATTGAGAAATACACACATTGTAAGCAGAACCTGACTGTACCATGATGGAACATGTATTAGGGCCATAAATTTAGAACTTCGTGTTCCTACAGTCAGACCAAAAGTTTAAAAAAATTTGTTGTCAAAAAAAAAAAAAAAACTGCAAACGGGTTGGCAAAATGAAGAGAAACATGAGGCCTAATTCATTAGGGCACAAAAGAATGTCTGTGACGACAGAGAACGGTCAAGGTGAAAGAGGCTGCAAAAGTAAGGCATGCCTCACGGAAGAAACATACCGGTGGTTTCAGAAACACCTACAGTCGAAACCTTTTGTAAGAGACACTGATATAAGAGACAAATGGGTATAAGAGACACCAGTGTGCCTAAAGTAAAATACGGATTGGTAAGAAAACGCATACAACGTACCCTACTGGGAGACGCAGCTGAGCTGCCGACGAGAACGGACGCGTTTCTACAGCTCCGTGAATATCGGCTGATAGCATCGGCTCGCGCGACTATCGCCCCACCGGCGTTCCCGCATTGCCTGCGCCCTGGCTCAACGACGCCCAGCTGTCAGAACCCATCGGCTCAGGACAGAGTTACCGGACACCTTGGACGAGGCCGTGGGGTCGCCCCCAGGCTCTCTTCTACCGGACACCATCGACAACCTGGACTAACCACCCTTGGCGCAGTTCGCTTCAACAATGTGCGTGGGACGCTCGCAGGTTGCATTTGGTGGCGGCGACGCTCCCGCATTCTTCACGTGAATCAGTATCGACGGCTGCAGCAGAGCTTATGTTGCAGCCATCACAACCACCCTTGGCTCCGAAACATAGCACAAAACGCGTAGCTGACTCACAAATTAATGCACATCATTTGTCTGCTTCAGCCACACCGGCAAGCAAGCAAGAATGCCCCTCTCCGGCAGCTGTTGCCTCGCCTGGCATAGAGTCTAAGTACAAGGTCGTCGTAAAACCATGTGAGTGCTTCGAGGAATCAAAATTGTCAAATCGCCTCCTTCAGTAAGCCTTCGATGCCTGCCTCAAAACCATTGCGTTTCAAGGTTTCTCTATTCACCATCCCTCCAACCACGTATCCGTATGGGTGCGTTCGCTAGCGGATGTTGACCGTTTCACCCAACTGCGAACTCTGCCAGTCACAGCTGATTATACCATGCCAGTGCAAGCATACTTGAGTTCGGGCTCGGACTTGCGTCGGTATGTGGTCTCTGGGGTTCACCCAGAGGAATCGCGGGAGCGCCTTGTGGCAGCTTTGACCTGCTCCACTCACAAGATCATACCAGCTAGTTATATGGGCCGTGGACACACGTGCCTGGTCACTTTCCAAGGTCCTCATGGTTGGGCATGTGTGACGTTTCGTGGGACCTAGAACCAGACTGCTGGGGAGTGATCCCCATCTGTTGATAACCGGTTTGGCCACATATAACCAGTGCCGCCTCCGACGTCGATGCTACCCAACCAACTGGGGCTTATACAGCAAGGAACTGAATGCTTCGATTGCTGATACATCGTCTGATCCATTGCAGGCGTTAACGACAGCTGTACAAGCTGCCACGCAGTCAAGCTGGGTAGAGGAGAACAGACCACCTCCAAATTTACATCTTCTGCATCTGTGGGCAGCACGCCATCGTGCAGAGCTAGCCTTAAACCGAGATCCGGCCGACGCTGAGCTTCGTGATAACCTCAACAGACTCACGCTGCAGCCCGTCGCTGCGAGAAGCATCTCGCCCGGGAACGGTGGATGGACTGTTGTGCATCACTCAGTCCATCATCTTCATTCGTATCAATATGGCGAGGTTCCGAAGCATGGAATTAGGCACTCGCACGCCGCACCCAGCGGCCAATGCACGCCAAGCCAGTTCACTCCAGAAATAGTTACGGCTTTCTTCCCAGCCTACAACTTGGGTTCACCACAATTCGGCTGTCCGTGTAACCTGCCTCCGGAGGTTGGCGTGACTCCCAGTCAGTCCGACATTGAAGGCATGCAAGCGCCGTACACGATGGCGGATCTACAGGCAGCAATTGACCAGCCAAAAGTACGCAAGGCACCAGGACCAGATCGGATCTCCTATGAAGTGTTCAAAAACATTCATGGCCCTGCACTTCAGTGCCTGCTGGACACGCTTAACGCAGTCTGGACGACTGGAGAGCTGCCTGAATCGTGGATGCATGCCGAAGTTGTGCCGATACCAAAGCCGGGAAAGCACTCGAGCAACATCTCTAATCTTCGGCTGGTTGCTCTAACGTGTACGTTGTGCAAGCTTCTTGAACACATGTTGGCGTCGCGCATCTCCTGGTGGTTGGAAAAGCACACCTGGTACCATCCGGCCCAGATTAGTTTTCTATCGCATCTGGGCACGGAAGATGGCTTAGATCATTTGACGTCCATGGTGCTCGTGGGAAGAAGATCAAGCAACATTCGAACCCTTCTCGCCATGCAAGTTCATAAAGCCTACGTCAACCACTCTGCGATCATTCACATAATGCAATGGCTTCAACTTCTGCCTCGCGTCTGCGACTTTGTCGTGTCTTTTATGGCACACCATACCTTCCGCATCCGAGTAGGCAAGGAACGAACCGAACACTTTATAATGAAGCGGGGTGTACCGCAGGGCTCGATGCTGGCCCCGATACTCTTCCAATCTTGCCCTGTTGCCCCTCACGTGGCAACTAGCACGCATTCCAGATGCATACCTGCCAAGTTCAAGGATTCAGAATCGGGAGATTGCCGCAAGGGGGGGGGGGGGTGCACACGGCACAAAAAAAAAGCAGACATACAAACATCCCAAAAAACAAAAGGGTGTGGGAGGGGGGTCTCAATCACAAGCGCCAACATCAGCATTGCGGTCTTATAATGGCTAGGAGTGGCCGAACACGTGAGTTTTTGACTAAGGTGAGAGTCTCAAAGGATCAACACAACTTGCAGAATTCATTTCCAACACAACTTGCAGAATTCATTTCAGTTAAAACAGCTTGCATATGTCTTCCTGCGACACACATGAAGGGACGGACGATGCTGCTGGCTGCCGCAAAAGCGCGGGTCGAAGCTTTGCTCACTACTAGACTCTTTTGCCAGGAACGCCAAAACGCGTATTGCCCCTTTTTATTGTGGTAGCAAATATATGGACAGTTCAGGCTGTTTCTTTTTTTTTTTTGTCCTCACCGCCCTTCATCGTATATGTATAGTTATCTGTATGTATGTATATATATATATATATATATATATATATATATATATATATATATATATATATATATATATATATATATATATATATATATATATATATATATATATAGGAAATAGATGATCAGAGTTTCTTCCGGCTACCGTGTGTGTCAAGTGTTCACATATATATGCGAACACTGAAAGAATAAAAGCTGCCCGCACTCGGCGCCGAGCTCATCACGATGCGCCGACGCGTGCTTATCTCTCATGTGTACTTTGCCCCATGGATGCCTGGGCGCACGAGCTTATCCTTTGGTGGGGGATCGTGTGCCTTCGGCTTTCACTGGAACGAAAGCGTTAGTTGCTGGCCCACAAAGGTCACTTTGGTCCCTGCACAAGCCCCTTTTGCAAAAACAGCGCACTTTTCATACACAGCGAAGTATAACAACTGGAACACTTGTTAGTTTGTACACATCTGTACCTGTGATTACGTATCGCGCATCGTTTTTGTTTAAAGAGTGTGTTAGGTGTCGAGCGGTAAACGTTGTTAGTTCGCTCTCGTCCTGCGAGTATCGTTTTCGTGCGTCATTTGTGTGTTAGCAGCACGATGCACGTTTCGATCTGCTTGCCGTTTTCAGTGTTGCATTCCAATTTGTTGCTATCGCATTTATTGTTTTGCCCTAGCGGTGAACTAACTTTTTTATTTTTTACGTATTTACTGCCCTACCGCTGCGTGCTCTCGGAGCTCGTAGATCGCTATCACGTCGCCGCGACCGCGGTTTTGTGCGTGGCGGCTGTGGCGAACGGCAGTTCATTTCACAATCCCCATGCGCTTGGCTACACACGCGCCTTCGAAACTAAGTCGTTTTATGCCATCTAGGATAGCATCTGCCGCAGTTTTATCCACAGAGTTTGCGTAAAGCAGCATTGCTTTGACTGGTTGAGCGCACACTTTCGGGGTTCTGTCAGTTACGTCGTCGCTATACATGCTATACAGTTACGTCGCTATACAGTTACGTCGTCGTCCACAGAGGTTGTGGCACCGACAATCACACGCACTGTAGAAGACAGTGCGTGCACCGGTCGCACGCGTACTCCCGAAGCTTTGAGTACGCTGCTCTCTGCCTTCGTTCGACGGTTTCCATACTAAATTTCGTATCACCCGCCGCGATTAGGAAATGTGTTCGGAACATTTGAATTGAGGCCCAATGAAGATAGTGGAGTTTGGCTGGGGGATTTCAAAAATTCGTATCTGCCGCAGTTTCGCATCACTGAAATTATACTGTATGTTTACATGAACGTCTCTTAAACTCATTTATAAGAGAATGGGGTAGGTTCGAAAATCCTGGAGCGGATTGAGCAGCTTTTTTGTCAATGCGGCCAGATCACGCACAGAAATTTCGATTTCCGGGAAATTTTTATGACAACCGTACAACCGGAAAAACAGTCAAAATCCGGGAGACTTGGCAGGTATGCAGTTGCCTTCTTCCTCCTGTATGCGGATGATTTGACTGTGTGGAGACTACATCCAGACCTTCAACGCCAGCAGTAGGCCCTCCAGACTGCTCTGGACAAGGCGTCGGACTGGTGTGTGTGCATCGGACTGACACTATCTGCCACGAAGACTGCATTCATGTCTATCACCAACAGACGAGGTCGCCATCGCCTCCTGCAGACGCCAATTTGTTTGAGCCAAAATGGCCAAACCTTCACTCCTGCATCTACAATCCGTGTGCTCGGGGTCAAACTGGACACATCTGGCTCTGCAAATGCGTGAGTTCACTCTGCTCGTCCGGAGAGTGCTAATACCCTCCATCTTATTCGTCGC